ATAATACGACTGATATAAATGGCTCTAATTACAATTACATTCACACCAGATTGTTTTAATGAAAACCTTTTCTCGTATCATTATATGAGAAATATCATGCGAAAAGATACGCACAATGGAACACGGACAAAATAAACTAGAGCGGAACACAGTGATGAGCGGAGCGGAAAGCGGATTCTTAATGTATTAAAGTTGACCAATAAACAATTGACTCAATCAAGTATTGAGGAAGATTAATCCATTTGTTAAATTATTTACAGCAAAATAAATAGTAGTGAATACTGAATAAATTACTATCCTAAAAGGACTAGATAGGTTTTCTGCAAAAAATTGTAAATTCAGTAATCGTAAAATCCTACACATAGTGAATGAATTATGAGAAAAAGTACATACAAAATAAATAAAACTTATATTTACTTAAGAGATATCATAAAATATACCAAATTCCAGATCTAATATCTGACGATGTACTTCATAGAAGTACATAAGTTCGATTAAGACTAAGAAAATCTAAGCTGTAATTTTAAAAATATTATCCGCTAATCGCTACACTTATTAGTATATTCAATAGCATAAAGGTATTCGCTAATGAGTAACGTAATTTCAATGCGGGGGGTCGCGAATCCATAAAGGCCACAATTTGCAAGCTTGAAATAAAGCTTGAAAGCAGAATGTTGCGTTTTTCGTTGATTTATCAAAAAGTATTCGAACACAGTTGACTTTATTTTACGTTCTGTGAATAATAAACCGAATTGGAAATAACAGTTAGTGAAATTTCATCAGAAACACGCAATGAATTTGTTAGTAAAATTGCTGACTTCGTATAGTAGGATTTCAATTGTGAATGAATTTATAATCTCATTCGATAAGCAAGATAGATCTTTGAAGATAAGATAAGAAAGAGAAAGTATTATTTTATTCTGCATTTTAAAAACTTATATCTTCTGTAAGTTTTTATTCAAATTTGTTTAGTTTTGCTGTGAGGTTCATATCAGAATGTTTATATCAGAACTAGTTTCTTATTCAACTTCTATCTTAAAGTATAATATGTAAGACTGGTTTTTAGTCGTTTAATCATACCTTCGCAGATGCGGTGACGGTTACAAAGAAGGGATCATAGTTATTCCTATGCCTATATCGGTCCGAACCTCCGCTCATCGGCAGCGATCCTGGAAACAGTGTTAGTGTTAAGCTTATATAAAATTATTTTTTTACAAGAAATTGCTTAGACATAGTAATCAAACATTTAACTCTCTAGACTACTTTGTGCAATTTGTGGCAAATAAAAGAACGCTGAAAATAACATTGAAATGAAGAGACTAAACTAAAAAGTTAATCTAAGTTCATTTACTTTGAGGCTTGTAACATAAAGTAAACAAAAAACAAAGTTAAGTTAAATTGGTTTACTTTAATCTGAAAATAATAATTTCCAACGTGCCCTTTACTATATATAAAATAGTGGATGATGCAAAATTTTATACATAGATTTGTTATCAATATCTTTCAATGTTTTTGATAAAATAACTCATAGTACATCCTGTATTTCTGAGAAAGTTTTTATTTGTTTGTAATGTTTAAATACGTAAATAATATTCATTTGTTAATGGACTTCATAATTACAAATCATTGTTCGATTTTTTTCATATTTAAAAAAATATTTTATTAAATCTTATTTTATTTAATAATCATCAGATTGCGCTGTCTGTTTGTTTGTGAAAAATGTATTTATCGACATGTCAAATGAAAAATTGCCGTAAAATTTAATAAGGTGCACATGTTCTACATCTTATTAGAATCGAAAGCCTAACTGAAAATACATTATTCGATCTATTGACATATTACAAAAATAAAAAGATTTACGTACGATCATATTCAATTCCAACTTTGAAGTGTTTTGTTTCAAATAAATGCGGATAACACGTGCCAAAGGAATATAAAAATAAACTGAACACAATTACACGTAACATAGTTGCGAATAAAACACGGCACGAGTGACTACCAGATTCTAAATTGCTCAAGTGATTGTTTTTATCTAGCTCTTAGACTAACTGATAAGTTCTTCTGTGAAGAGATATAGAATTTCTTCAGATATTCAAACGTAGAGAGCGATTGATTTCGTAATGGTAGATAAATATTTTTTATCTTTGCAATAGATCGGTCGATCGGTTATTTTCAGCGTTTTTGAAGGTTGCAGTTGAAAGTGGGCCGTTTTCATTTTTAGAATCGTTTGATGTATTTATTTTAGATAGGTTCGATTTGTTATTGTAATAAATAGTTTATTTATGAAGTTTTTTAATGTTTTTACTAAATGTAGACAGATATAAAGCAATGGTTTGTTTTTAGAATTTTAAACATTCTAGAGATTTCGAATTTATAATGGTGTTTGTAACTGTTTTTTTTAACAATAGTTGGATTGTAAAAGAAGAAATATTTATCGTTCCATAATGTCGTAGATTAATCGCGCTTGAAGCGCCAATAGCCTAATGGTTAAGGGTGCGGATTCCCGATCACGAGGTCGGGGTTTCGAATCTCGCCATTCGACTATTGTCGTAAACCTTATCCTAGCACAAGCATATAGCTTAGTTGGAATGGTAAAAGAAATATTAGCAAATTTACAAAAATCTGCTTATATTTTTATAAAATATATATATATATCACTCGCGACTCTTCCTGCGCTGCCTGTAGCCTATGTGTTCTTCCAGACTATGTTCTACATGTTGAATTTCAGCGAGATCCATGCTGCCATCCATCCGACATTTGCATTTCAAATAAGAGTAATATTGTTATTAGTTCATTTGTTTTATTTCTAAAGTTGAAAAAAGAAGTTGAAATACAGAATAAAACTTTTGCTTTAATTGTATTTATAATTTTATAGTCGTTAATGTGAAAATTTGTTATGACTTTTATAAAATGTTATTATTTTAAATAAGTTGGTATATATTTAAGTGTAGCGCTCACTTGGCTCCAGTCGAGTCAAAGGAACGTTAGAATTTTTGCATGTTCAATTTAAAGTTTAATTTAGTCGAGGAAACGTTTCAGCCTTTGAGAGTTGCCACTTCTGGCTAAGTGCCTGTGTCGAGAGAAAATATTCTTGAAAAATAAAATTGAGCTGCGGGAATAAATTTAATATTACACTTGCGACAGTTGTTACTTGATTTTATGACTTAGTCTTGATTCTATCTCAATTTGAATTGGTGAAGATGTTTTTGTAAAATAAATAAAATATATTACAGATGACTTTCATAGTGCTTCTAATTAACTTTATAAATTAAAAGAAGAATCCTTAGCCTATTAGGATTCTACTTTTCTTAACTGGACAGATAAGGTGGCAAAGGGGCAAGTGCTGCGAGTATCCGCCGAAATAGCGAAGCTACCACTGTCCACAGACATCCGCGAATGCAAATGTGCTACTAACCTTTAATCGACGGATGTGGAGACACATAAAAAGAGAATTCTTCCCCTTCCTATGCGTCCCCATCTCCATAAAATCCACTTCCCCTTCCCATACTTTTCTTAAAAGAAAATGAGGTCTCAGAAACCTAGTCATCAGAACGTACACGGAATTACTTCCACTTGAGATTAACGAGATTCAGGCTAAGCGCCATCTGCGCCCGGCCACCGCAAGTCTGGTGAAGCTGTAAATGCCTCTTCAAGGCAAACAGTGACTACTCAGTCACAAAAAAAAACTTGAGAAACTCTTAATTTTTGGTTACCTCTCTATATTACTATTACTATATTCCAGGTTATTTTACCAGTCTGATTGTCAGGCGAGAGGTAAATTTAATAAATAAGTCTTTCCAATTGTTAATTAAATGTTACAATTTACACAACCCGTCGAGTTTCGGCATCGTTGCGTCAAAATATATCAATTCAACGTCTACCTGTCGTTTATAAATAATTCACGGCATCTTAATTAAGGCCGGCAACAGCTGGG